TTTTTTGGTCAGATTGACTAGTAGATATGATTCAAGCCCATAGATGGACGCTTTCATCTTCCCTTATTTTCGAGAGATATTCTCTCTTCCCATAAGTTCGATGGATATCCATCGAACTTGAATACTAGTAAAGCTGGAAGCTTGTGGTATCTGTTCAGATTATAAAGATGTTAATTAAGTGAAAGATAGTGAAAGAAAATTTGAATGAGAGCAAAGACATTTATTTTTTCAAAGTCTGTCTTTCCTCTCATTCAAATTTTCTTTCACTATCTTTCATTTAATCAACATCTTTACAATCAGAACAGATACCACAAGCTTCCAGCTTTACTAGTATTCAAGTTCGATGGATATCCATCGAACTTATGGGAAGAGAGAATATCTCTCGAAAATAAGGGAAGATGAAAGCGTCCATCTATGGGCTTGAATCAGTATTATTATTATTATTTAAATATTTGCAATTTTTAAACTAGCTACACTGAAGATATTTGAAGACATATGCGTTAGCAATTGAACCAAATTGATTAGGAAATTAAAGTTATTGAAAATCAATTTTTTTTTCTTTAATATTATTCTTTCAATGCTCGTTAACTGTACTGTAAATCATAGATGATATTATTTAACTTCTCTAATTTTTATTGTTTCAAGTTTCTATTAAAAAGCATTATAGAAATAATTACTGTACAAGGTGAACATTCATATCGACATTATTTATTGCACGCCTCATAGCGCGAAGCGCGTGAGGTTGTGCTTTATACTCGACTCGTCAAGGCCAAACAATTTTGTGATCTTTAAATGCCTCTATCACAACCATATTACACTTATACAATAATATAAGTAGATGTACACCGAAAAAACACTTAAATAAAACCATCTTTTACTTTCTAAAATCGTTTCATGTTGCTATTTTGAAAAAAAAAAACGTTTTGAAAAAAATTTTACGTGGACGTCCGGATGTCACCCCATTTTGGATGTACCAACGATTACTCCCGAACAAATTGACATTTCAAGACCGGACCTTTTTCATTAGTTTAAGAATTCGATGAACTGGGTCCGTATTGGCAGAGTGCGAAGTATATGGTGGGGAGGGCTGGCGCTGACTACCACTTTTACGTGTAAATCTTATGAGAAGAGCATGATTTAACGCTAATGGCGACCACTGGAACTAAATTACTCCGTTTGATTTAACACAGAAAAAGCATGAAAAATGAGGGCAGCACCATCGTGCACCTGGCCAATTGCATATCAGTGGCCTAGTTTACGTATTTTTTTTTTAAATTGAATTTTTATTAAAATTCACTCCGATATAACCGTACAAAGCCAAACGAACTTTTTTTATTTGTCACGTGAAAACTATGGCGCCACTTGATCAAGTTAGATTTTTTTAGACTGCGTGCGCATATGACACGAAAAAAGAGCGCTGATATTTAAAAAAAAAATAACAAATACTCTGTAAGAAATTACTTAATTATAATTTTTTTTTTTTTAATCAATTACACAATTAATTTTTTTCTTAAAAAATGAATGAGCGTTATGAGGCGTGCACTTTTGGATTTTCCAAACTTTTGTAAATTACCCTGTGAAAAATTTGCAAGTGGATGATTTTTAATTGATTTGGTTCCTCCGGAGTGAAATTCACAGCGGAAAGGATTTAATTTATCTCATTTAAAAAAACTCCGTGGAGTCAATTCTGTTTTTTTTTTTTTTTTTTTGATTAAATAAAAATTGAAAATAGTTGCAATTTGTTTAAAAAATGCTTATTGAAAGATTTAAAAAATCAGTGTAATACTTTTCCCTATTTTCATATCACAAAGAATGTTTAACTTATTGACGAAATCATTATAGTTTTTGAAAATTGTTGTCGATTGAATTTGATTCTATGAAGATAATATACTTTCAATTCACAATAGTTAGCGACCGGAGAAACAAAGATCTTAATCAAAGAATCGTGATCAAAAAAATAAATTTTTGAAACCAGATACTCAATTTACTTTTTTTTTGTTCTTTTTATTGAAAAATTGATATCTCGTAAAAGGGATGTGTAAATATTTTTTAGTTTGTCAAACTCATCGCAGTTCTTAACGGATCATTTTATAATTTATTGTGCAATGATAAAAAAATAAGATAACGATAAATGGCAACGAAAACCTTCGCGTGTACTGAGACGTTTAAGCTGACAGAGCGACCGGCCGGATTACGTTTGTTCTGGTGACCCGATTACGTGCGTTAGCACGTTCAATGTGTCGTGGGTGTGTCGGTACATGCCACGGGAGCTAAAATGTTTAGTTATTTTTATTGTTTTATGTATTTCATCGACCAAATAACGTTATTTAATCCATTAATTAAAAAATTATAATTTCTAATTTATAATACATATATATAATATAATGATATATCATATCCATATTAAGTAATAATTGGATTTGCTATTTGTCCTGTACCTGTAATTCAATCCTCAATTACGCCTTGTAGTAGAAAGTAAAATAACTTTTGATAACGATAAATTATAAATTATTTATTTATTTATTGGATTTAATACTTTTATAGACATTTGAAAGTTAAGAATAAATATTTTATATAATTATAATTTCAATAATCATTATGAAACAATTTTAATTACAAAGTATAAATAGTTTTATTA